TCACATATCTGATTTCATAATTAAAGTAAAAATACCTATATTTAAAAATTCACCAATGTTTTTTAGGAATCAGTATTTCTACAAATCAATACGTATCTCTAAAATATGTTTCAATGTTGGCCTGCCACATGGTTAATGTACTTTAAGTTCATACATTTGTAGTTATTTTCTCTTCTAATCTTATTATTGAACTACATATTTTCTAGGACACATTAACTTTCATGAAAAATGCTTCTGGTTTTAATAAATTCACTTGTTTTGGCCTTAGCCTCATTGTGATGGGTAAGATTTCTATGCTGTTAACAGAGATTGGTACTCATCTTCCTTATTTTTTTTTCTGGATTCTCTTTAAGTCCTCATTATAGCTACACCTTCTGGTTACTTCCAGCTGTGAATAAACATAGACATAGATGAACTCCACTGCTTCATGACCTTTGCCCAGATGTGACAGTAGGCAGATGACACTGCATTGAGTAAATGAAGAAACTGCTGCTTGGATCAGCAATCACTTAGGGGGAAAGATCATTTCTCCATCCTTGTTATTTAGCTAGGCATTTACTGTGGGGATTCTGAAAGACCTAGTATTAGAGCGTCTGCCAGGAAGGGGATGGTCACACACACATATCTAGAAAGCAAACAGTTTCAAGTCAAAGGGCAGAACTCATTGCGTTTATCCTATGCATGTTGTTAATTTAAGATGTGTTTTCCATTTCAAAAGGTCAGGAAATATCAGTTTGATAGCTCATTCTTGTTATACCTAATATTTTCTTTACTCTACATGCAAACACATCTAAGAGCCCAACAGGGGCAAAGGAAAATCATGTAAATTGCCTGATCTTTGTTTAGTGTGAAAGTTAAACTTAGCAGCTCTGCTCACCCAACTTCACAGGGAAATTACACTACACAGAAGTTCTACATTGCTTAGTGGCTCCTACATCCTCAATACTGGAGACAACAAGTGATGTGAAAGACGGTGGGTAGCAGCGGTTCACAAACACCAGCCCCCAGAGATTCCCAGGCCTCAGTAGTGTGCTGCAGCTGACTCATCCTGACTAGAGAAACTGAAGAATGAGGTTTTCTGCTTCTGAATGCAGTGACAATTTGTTAAAGTAACCTCGACATAGTGGCTATCTTTACACTCCAAATATTGGCACACATTTCAAATCAAGGTTTTGTGTCATTTTGTTCTGTTTTTCTTTTTTGTTATTTTATTTTCTTGAGCACCCTGTTGCTAATCATTTGCCAGAAATGATTAGTGACCATCATCAATAAACTTAATGAATATTTCAACTCACAATAAGCATATGTGTGATTGATGATTCAGAGTGAATAGCAACAGAGATGCCTATATATCATAAAGTTGAAATCATTTTAGTCTCACAGTTTACTAACAATCTATTGTAGGGCTACAAAAAAGATTATTTACCCAGGTCTCTTCAAATGAAAACACAATTGCTAGCTTGTATGATTTATGACTTTTCCATATTATACCTTTGTGTAAATTCACATTCTACATATATGTACATGAAAATGCTGAGTCAAATAACTATTTTAATATTTGATGAATATTGTTGTTACTACTCTCTTTTAAGGAAGCTATTTCCAATGTAAATGTAAGATAAAAAATGAAGTCATATTTGCAGATGATATGACAGTTTACATAAGTGACCAAAAAAACTCTACCAGGGAACTCCTACAGCTGATAAATACCTTCAGTAAAGTGGCAGGAAACTAGATTAACTGAAAAAGTCAGTAGCCGTATTATATATAGACAATAATGGGGCTGAGAAAGAAATCAGAGAAACATCACACTATACAGTAGTCACAAAAAAAAAAAAAAAAAAAAAAACATAAAATATTTTGGGGAAACGCTAACCAAACAAGTCAAAGAACTATATAAGAAGAATTTTCATCTTTAAAGAAAGAAATTAAAGAAGATACCATAAAAATGGAAAGATCTCCAATGTTCTTGGACATAGTAAAAATGGCAATCTTGCTGAAATCAATCTACAGATTCAATGCAATTCCCATCAAAGTCCCACCACAATTCTTCACAGACCATGAAAGGATAATACTCAACTTTATATGGAAAAACAAAAGACCCAGGATAGCCAAAACAACCCTGTACAATAAAGGAACTTCAGGAGGCATCACCATTCCTGACTCCAAGCTCTATTATAGAGCTATAGTCCTGAAAACAGCTTGGTATTGGCACAAAAATTTACAGGTCGACCAATCCTGATATTAACCCACACACCTATGAACACCTGATTTTCAACAAAACAGCTATAATTGTACAATGGAAAGAGGAAAGCATCTGCAACAAATGGTGCTGGCATAACTGGATGCTGGCATGTAGAAGACTACAGATAGATCCATATCTATCGCCATGCACAAAACTTAAGTCCAAATGGATCAAAGACCTCAACATAAATCCAGCCACACTGAACCTCTTAGAAGAGAAAGTGGAAGGTACCTTTGAACGAATTGGTACAGGAGACTGCTTCCTGGACATAACACCAGTAGCAAAGACACTGAGACCGACAATTAATAAATGGAACCTCCTGAAATTGAGAAGCTTCTGTAATACAACAGTCAACAAGACCAAACGGCAGCCCACAGAGTAGGAAAAGATCTTCGCCAACCCCACATCTGACAGAGGGCTGATTTCTAACATATAAAAGCACTCAAGAACCTCACCAAAACACCTAATAATCCAATTAAAAAGTGGGGTACAGAACTGAATAGAGAATTCTCAACAGAGGAAACTAAAAGGGCTGAAAGACAAGAAAGTGCTCAACATCCTTAGCCATCAGGGGAATGCAAATCGAGGCAACTCTGAGATACCATCTTACTCTTGTCAGAATGGCTAAAATCAGAAACACCAATGACACCTTATGCCGGAGAGGATGTGGAGAAAGGGAAAACTTCTCCACTGCTGGTGGGAGTGTAAACTTGTACAGCCATTTTGGAGATCAGTATGGCAGTTCCTTAGGAAAATGGGAATCAATCTACTACAGGACCTGGCAATAGCACTCTTAGGCATATACCCAAATGATCCATATCAATGCAACAAAGTTATCTGTTCAACTATGTTCATAGCAGCATTATTTGTAATAGCAAGAACATGGAAGCAACCTAGATGCCCCTCAACTGAAGAATGGATACAGATGTGGCAAGTTTACACAATGGAATACTACTCAGCATAAAACAAACAAACAAAAATAATGGAATCTTGAAATTCAAAGGCAAATGGATGAAACTTGAAGAAGCCATCCTGAGTGAGACAACCCATTCACAGAAAGAGGAACATGGTATGTACTCACTCATATATGGATTTTAGACATAGAGCAAAGGATCACTAGCCTACAATTCATACTGCCAGAGAAGCTAAGATACAAGGAGGAACCTAAGAGATCCCTTACAGAAGGCAGACAAGCTCTCCTGAGCATATTGGGAGCATGGGGGGGGGGTGTGAGTTAGTGAGTGGAGAGGGAGTTAGGAGAAAGAGAAGGCCCGGAGAGGAGAAAATGTGGGACCAGGAATTCTGAGTCAGGGGATGAATAGGCAAGAGCAAGAAAAGAGATACCATACTAGAGGGAGTCATTATAGGTTTTAAGAGAAAACTGACTCTAGAGAAATGTTCAGAGACCTAGGAGGATGACTCCAATGAACAACCTGAGCAACAGTGGAAAGGCTACCTTAAATGCCCTTCCCTGATAATGAGATTGATAACTACCTTATATGCCATCCTAGAGTCCTCATCTAGTAGCTGCTGTAAACAGAAGCAGACATCCACATCTAAACACTGAGCTGAACTCTTGGAATCCAGTTGCAGAGAGGGAGGGGAGTGATGAGCAAAGGGGTCAAGATCTGGTTACAAAACCCCACAGAGTCAGCTGACCTGAACAAGAGGGAGCTCATGGACCTCAGGCTGTTAGGTGGGAAACCAGCATTGAACTCACCCAGCCCCCTGAAAGTGGTTCTTAGATGGCCTGGGCAGACTAAGGGGCCTCTGACAGTGGAACCAGGATGTATCCCTGGTGCACGAAATGACTTTGGGAGCACATTCCCCATGGATGGATACTCTCTTAACCTAGAGACAGGAGGGAGGGCCTAGTCCCTACTCCAAATGACTTGACAGATTCTGATGATCCCTCCTGGATGTGGTGTGGTTGGGGAATGTGATGGGATCAGGAATGGGGGGGGGGCTTATGGGGGATGGGAGGGAGAGGGAACTGGGATTGATTTAAAATAAGAAAAAATAATAAAAATGAAAAAATACTCATATTTAAATCTCAGCAAATAATAATCAAGCTGCCATAGTCATATAAACTGTTTGCTGAGAATGTTCTAGACACTCCACAATTAAAGATGGTGGCTGTTCTGTAAGTTAGCACAACTTACATTCTATTAGACCTAAAACAAACCCAGGTGAGTGTTTGGCATTCTTTCCCCAGATTCTTCAGATCATCTGTCATTCCCTCCTATGGGTTTCTCAATTTGTTTTTCTAAAACAGATACACCCAGGTATAATCCAATCTTATATACATACTCTATTTCCAAAAATTCACATATCTAGATTATCAGGCCTAGATATTAAACATGATTAAAAACTCTATAATGAAATTTACGTGAATGTTCTCTCTCTCTCTCTCTAAATAATATATATATATATATATATATATATATATACATATTTCCCTAGAAAAGGACATTGTATTTTTTTTTTTAAGAGAAATCATGCAGTGAGTGATATCAAAGCCGTTTCCCAGCACTCTTACTATCCACTTATGCACGCGACTGCAATACACCATGGTGAGAACAACGCCCAAACCTTAGCACCCAGCGGAGGACATCAACTAGGGCGCAAATAAGAACTTGATAGTGGTACTTTATTGCATTCCAAGCAAGCCTCATTACGTTTGCCTTCGTTGCACACATCTTACCAAGGAAGGTAAGAGAACGGGGTTACCCTTGTGTGGGGAGAGGGGTGATCCACTGTCCTTGCTCGCTGCGGGGAGGTTAGCCCATGTTCTGTCGGTTGCCATAGCCCCAAGGATGGGTGTCCTTCCAGTCGTCCCACTGCTGCAGCCTGTGCAGGGCATCCTCGTCTTCCTCTTCTTCCTTCTGCTCCAGCTGGTGCTCTTCCTCTTGCTCAGGTGCCCTGTGGGTCTCGGGCGGCAGGGGTGTTTGCCTTTCATCTTCCTGACCCGATGGTAAACCCTCACATTTCTGGTGCTGCTCATACCAGTCGTTCACCGTCATAGTGGCCAGACTTGGGTACCCAGCCCCAAAGACTTGTGCCTGGGCAACGTTCCGAGTGAGGACGAAGGGCTTCATGGGAGGCCGCTCCTGATGGGTCAGGGCAGAAGCGGACTCCTCGCTGTGGGAGTCCCTCTGCCTCAGAATCTCCAGCTCCTGGTCGATGCTCTGGATCTCGTCCAGGCTGACGTTAATCCACCTGCGAAGCTGCAGGAGGTAAAACTCGCGCACACGCTCATCGTCAGCCTCACCGCTCTCCACCGCTGACCTCAGGGCCGACAGCCGCTGCTCCGCCACCTTATTCTGCTTGTACCTCTGGATTTTGGCCTGCCTCTGCGATGCCATGGCAACCAGGTTGGGCTCCAGCAGGGCGGAAGTGGTGCCGGCGGCGGCGGCGGCGGCGTTGCCTTCCGGCGAGCTGCCCTGGGCCCAGGGCAGCTGAAAGTCGGCCACACGGTAGCTGTGGCTCTGGGTGAGGAAGCTCACGAAGTGGTCTCGAGCCTCCTGCAGGTGGTCCAGGCGATGGCTGGCGTCCACCAGCTTGAGCGTGAGCGCACCCCGCAGGGCCGGGAGCATCAGGTACTTGAGGTCAGCGGAAGCAATCTCCTCCCAGTCTTCGTTGCGGCTGAAGAGATCGAGCTGGGAAAGCATGTCCGAGGCCTTCTCCAGCAGTTCCAAGGCCCTGACCACCTTATCCTGGACCAGCTTGGAGCCCAAGGGTTGCGCGGAGGCCTCCACCTCCTCCAGCAGTTGCCTGCCCGTTTCCAGCAGGTCCGGGAGCCTGGGATTCTGCAGCTCGTCCTGGGGCGTCGCCATCTTGCAGCAGGGAGGAAGCCGGAAGTCTCTGGTCGGTGAAACAAAGACTCTGTGCAGCCCAGGCTGGCCTGGAACTTTCTATGCAGCTGGCCCTGGCCTGGGACTGGCAATGCTCCTGCCTCAGCCTCCTCCACCCGCGAGGACTGGGATCACAGGCGGTGCCAGCACACCTGGCTGCTTCTCAGAGCCTTAGTGTAGGACTCCCTCCCTTGTGATGGTGGTGGCAGCATTAGATGCCAGGAGATGAAGTGATGTGAGCACGGTGGCCATTGCTAGTATCCTGGAGCAGTGTCTCTTGAACGTAAGCACTCCGATAGTGCGTGCTCTCGGTTGAGATCTAATAACCGGAATGGGCACTGGGTAACAACTGGTGCAGCGCGGATGCACACATGGGTTAACGAGTGATTGCTGTCAATGGGGCGTCCCCGGATGGAACACGATGGCAAGATTTCGTGGTGCTCCTCAGCTTGGTATCCAGTTGGAAGCATGGATTCTTTACGTAGTTTAGCATTTGATATTTTGCGCTAGCACTGGACCGTGAGGTGTGTGAGGAGGTGGATAATGTAGGTCTAATGTAATGTTAACGTCCACTGAGAGATACTCGGTCTCCTTTACAGTGCGGCAGCATCTCTCTCTCTCTCTCTCTCTCTCTCTCTCTCTCTCTCTCTCTCTCTCACTCTCTCTCTCTCTCTCTCTAAATCTGTTACTCTTTGAGTTCTTACAATCATCATTGTTTTGAGTGATTTTTTTTTTTCTTTTTAAGATGAATTTTATGTGTATGTGTGATTGTATGTATGTTTGGGCAGCACAGGTGTGCAGTACCCAAGCAGGCCAGCAGAGGACGGTGGGTCCCCAGGAACTGAAGTTACTATGCTGCTGAGATACAAACCCAGGTTTTCTGCAAACGCTGGGAGTGCTTTTAACCCTAGAGCCGTTTCTCTAGCCCCAGTTTGAACTTCTTGACCAGATCCTCTGTTGAGTTTAATAACATATGTGACCCTCAACTTAGCCTGTTATTGCGTTTTTCAAGGAAATTAACTTGGAGAACTCGTAGATTTTTCCCCCGGTACATGTAGACATAGCTGCACCCATTCATTTTGAAAGTAACTTTGTAATGTACAGTACAGATGCATATGAGGTCCCTGGCTACAATTTCTACTTTAGCCCCTATTGTGCTACAATCCTGATTAAGTTGAAGATTCAAAGTAAGTAAAGTATAGCGTAATGAGTTTATAGTTAAATAAATTTATCTTTAATTGTATACTTTAATATAAACTCTCAAGTTCTTAAATTTGAGTTTAGAATTTGGAAACATGAAACTTACATACAGAGTTATTTTTATTTTGGATGTATGGATTTTTGTTTATTGCTGAATGTTTAATTGAATAAATATGACATGTAAGTTGACATTTATTTTTTTAAAATTAACTAAAGCAAAATAAACCAGGAATTGTTACTCTACAAAAATAAGTGTGTAAGCGTGTTTATTACATAAGGGAAGATTTAACTACTGATCAGTTTTGGTAGGTAGATAAACTGTATTTGACAACATAGGGAAGACCTTATTATCTTTGAGATCTTATTCTTCTACTTTCTTTTAACAACTTTCCTTTGAAAATTGAAATGCTATTTATAGTCTTTAGTTTTCAGTCTTCCCTGTATATTTCCCTCTTTCTTTATGTTAAGGACATTATCAGTTTTAAAGAGATTGATGACATTTATGTTTATGGATGTTTTGCCAGCTGGATCATCTGTGTAGTGCATGCATGAACTACTGGAGGAGACAAGAAAAGGGTGATGGATTCTCTTGGAACTGGAGTTCCAATGGTTATGAGGAAACGTACGGAGTTGCTCTTCCTTCCTCCCTTCCTCCCTTCCTCCCTTCCTTCCTTCCTTCCCTCCTCCTCCTCCTTCTTTTTAACCCTTTTGAGCATCCACTACCCAGCTCCCAGATAAATTCACAGAGACATATTCTTGCTCATGAATGCATAGTCTTATCTTGACTTGTTTCTAGCCAGCTTTTCTGATTTGAAGTAACCCAATTTTACATTTTGCCTCTGTGCTTTTTACCTTTCTTCTATGTATCTTACTTTCACTCTTACTCCATGTCTGGCTGTGTGACTGGCTGGCCCCCAGTGTCATCATCTCCTTCTCCTTTTCTTGCTCCGTGTTCTTCCAAACCTAGATTCCTCCCCCACCCCCCCCCACCCCCGACTTGCATCTCCACCTATTTCTCTCTCCTGCCTAGCTATTGGCCATTCAGCTCTTTATTAGACCAATCAGGTATTTTATACAGGCAAAGTAACACAGCTTTACAGAATTAAATGAACATAGTATGGAAGGATACAACACATGTTTGCATCATTAAATATTCCACTGCATAAATGAATGTAACACACCTTCAACTAATATTCCACAACACATGTGGGTGCTGGAAATGAAACCCAGGTCCTCTGGAAGATCAACAGGTACACTTAAGCACTGAGTTATCTCTCCAGCCTATTTTTGATGATTTTTTAAATTGCATTTGTTTATTTCACCTTTGTGTAACTGCAAATATGACATAGTACCACTGTGAACATCAGAGGACAACTTGTAGGACTTGTAGGAGTCCATCCACCATGTAAGTCTCTCAGGGATTGAACTCAGGCTTTTAGGCGTGGAAGCAAGTACCTTTGCTTGGAACCATCTTGCCACCAGCCTGCTTTCCAAGAGCTCTAATCATTCCTGAGTTTTTGAATTTTCCTTTTGTAGTAAGTGTTGGTACACACACACACACACACACACACACACACACACACACACACGTGCACACAAACACACATGCAGGCAACACACACACCTCCTTATCTCCATCAGTGTTGTTCTGTGCTACATATATTGGTGGTAATTATATATTTATATATAATTATATATTTACCTTTTCTTGTGAGTTTTCTACCTTTTTTTTTTTTAATCCATCTTATTACTAATTAGAGTTTGTAGCATGCTGTTTCTTTTCCTTCTCCTCTTTCTGGGAATTCACAAAATTATGTGAATTATTTCTCTATCTGTTTTAAAATACGACTTTAAAATGCAAACTATAAGGCCAGCATGCATTTCTAAAACGCTTACTTACTAATGGGTCTCATGAAGAACAACTGAATAAAAGTCCATCTGCTTGGGCTGTGACCACAAGTTGTCATAGCTATGTCCATTTCCCTTCAACTGGTCCATTTCCCTAAAGAGAAATCTGCCAGCCGTTTGCCAGCGAGAGTAGTGAAATAGAGGTGAACTACAGGTGAGGTCAGCCAACTTTCTGAAAGCTTCAGGCGTGAAAAGTATTGGTTGTCTTTATATCTGAAGTGGTTAGTGACAACAATTTTTCATCCCAACATCCCAGAAAACTCTTCCATCTTCCATCACCTCCTGAAGTTTGAGAAAGAGCAGATCCATCCGTGGTCTAACTGCATCTGCACGGCTCCCGTAAGGTATCTCGGTCTTCAACAGTGTCTGTGCCCTGCAATGTGAATTGCACTTTTGTCTGCAATGCTGACAAAACCTGCACAGTGAATTTGGATTAAGCCGGCTGTGTGTGGAAACTGCTGCCAGGTGGGAAAAACATGACTGGAATCACATCCCCACAGAGTTTCGCGCAGAATGATAGCTAACAAGAGAAGATAGGAAATGGCAAAGACTAAAACCCCTTCAGCCTTATTCTCTCTCTCCTCCCTCCCTTCCTTCCTGTTTTGGCAGAGACAGACCCATGATTGCCCAGCAAAACAGAAATGTGCCTTTGCAGGTCTAGTCCCCACACCCCAAGGCTCCAAATCCTATGATGATGTCAGAGCTGAGACCAACGAGACAGTAAGCAGCCAATGTGTATATCCTGCCAATGCTTCATTTGTAATTGAAGAAAAATTTGCCTAAAGAGGATTTTCACGTGTTTGGCTCAATGAATTTTGACATCTATCTATGGAATACAGTCATGTAAGCCACATTTCAAGCAAGATTCATTGGAAATGTCACCCAAGAAAATCAATTCCTATATTTTAAGTACTCTCAGCTTGGATAGGCAAATGTTATTTTGATTCCTGATGTAGGTAAGTTTTGCAAGCTCCTGAGATCCATCTAAATGGAATTAATGAAATGTTCTTGTGCTTTCCACTTTTGGGTAGACTTCCATTGTTTATGTGAGAAAACTAGTATAATAGATATTTTTAAAAAAATATTATAGAAGAAAACTTTCCCAACCTAAAGAAAGCTGTGCCTACGAAAGTACAAAAATATTTATATTACTATTGTGTTTTATATTACTGTGATTACATTATTGACATGTTTATTCATAACTATGTTATTTCTGAGACAAATTTTAAAAGAGAATTAACTGCATTCAGATTGCTAGCAGACACAACTAAATCTTTAGCTGGGTATAGGAACACACTCTTGGATTTCAACCCTTGGAAGTGTATGCAGGGAGATCAGGAGTTCAAGGCAATCCAGGAATAAGTGGAAGTCTTTAAAAACAACAAACTGTGTTTTACAAATAGGCTTACTTTATCATATGCAAGGGTTTAATATGTCAAATGGTGGCAATTCTGATCACCCAACTTATTAAAATGGGTTAAATTGATTTTCTCATCCCCCCAATTCACACCAGCTTCTACCTGTGGATCATTTGAAGTTACAGAATTGGAGAACAAGAAGAAAATAAAAGGCAGAGGAAGCAGCACTATGTGTAACAGAACTGTCTGAAACTACGAGTAGTCTCCTCTATTGAATTACACCAAGAGAGTTATTTAGGTGAACTGAAATTGTGAATCGTGAGACCGATTTGAAAACTGAGCTCATAATGACAGAAGAAAAGGCCTTCAAACATCTAAGTCTCCTGAAATGTTCTCAAACCATTCACTAGGGTAAACAAAATTATCGCCAACACCTTTGCCTGTCTTCCCTTCTACTAGCCACTAAATATGTGCAGTGTGGCATGTAACACATGTTTACTTGGATGCACTGTGTTATGTTGAAAGGATTTGCTGTTGAATTAATCAGAAGATAGCATTTCCCTGGGTGGATAGTGATTTGTCTCTCTTAACTAATTCATACTATGATAAAAC